AGTATGAATTGAAGAAACTAGGGAAACTTCGATTCGGTAGTATGGAAAGAGAAAGGAGAATGCAAATCCCGTTAAAAAATTTGCTCAAAAGTAAGTTCCCAAAGATTTTGAATGTATAAAAAGTATTTATAGGGCTATAGGGAAGGTTCTATAAAAAACAGAGTACAACATTGATAATAATCCATTACATATTGTACATGACATGTGACATGAACTGGTATGTACTTGCGTGGACGTATGTCTTTATTATAGCTCTAAATTCCAAGGCGAGTTTTCACTAGTGAGTCCTCAGGGTCAGACGAGTTTATGTGGGCAAATCCTTTGGATGCAAACGCGAGTCCCTGGAGGGTGTTTTTCGTCTCATGGGAGCAAAGGGTGAGTCCTTTAACATGATAATAATAACGAGCTCATGGCAACTAAGTTGAGGGGCTCATAGTCATGGACCCCTGAGGTGTGTCATTCTTATAATTGGAACCAAAGATGTCATGTAATAATCCAAAGTTTTTATTTATTAATGAATTCTTAATAATCTAATATCAAAATAATTAGAAAATCTTACATGCATGGAAATATAGTTAGGAGTGTTGTGGTACTCTAATGGAGAACGCAACGGAATTGACCTCTATGTGTAACAACCTGACAATTATGAAAACTATTTTAAAATGAAGAATATGAATGTGACGCATTTCGGTACACCGGTACCCTAGTCTTGGGAAAATTTAAAAATAATTCAACACGGCAACGCCATGAACAAACATACAACACTATGGCACTGCGATGTTTGAGTGCCGGGACGCTAGGTCACAAACAATATATATTAAGCCATAAACCTAAAGAACTGCACTATGTCCTCCTCCCCATTCACGTTGTTTGCTATGGAAGAAGAAGGGAAAGGGAGAGAGAAGAGAGAGAAAACTGAGTTTTGGTCATTTTTGCATGTTGCTTTAGTTAGGAAAAGTCTTATTAATCATAGTAACCTAAAAGCTACTTTTCTTTTCAATGATTTCTTATCTACTGATTTAATTTTCCCAAAACTGCACTTTTTTTTTTTTGGGAAATTTTGGGGCCTAGGCCCATATCATTGATGTAAAGGAAAAAACAGAATTACAAAGAAAAAAACAGTTGCAAACAAAAAAATGTTGCAACAACCAAAAACTAACAGCAACAGCTGCTGAACAAAAGAAACTAATAACAGTAAGGCAAAATGAAAAAAGCGAAATTAAAAGGACTCAGTAAGCAATCAGCATTAAGATCAACGAGGCTAACAAAAAATACTCCCCTGGTTGCCGAAAAGGAGGAAACCGAGACCGTCCAAGGGGAGAGGGCATAGATTGCGATCATCATTGTCCTTCAAAAACTCCACCAGCCCATGGTTGCCACAAGAGACCATCCATGGACGCCAGCAAACCTTCCACAGCAAAAAGGCAGAGATCAAGTGAACCATAACTGACTTGATTGAAAGCATTTTTTCTTGAAGGTCTTAAGATAAACAGCCTTTTTAATTTTGGACGTGATGGTAGTGAGGCATTCAATGTTATTCCCAAAAATTCTATCGTTGCGGGCTCTCCAGGTATAGTAGACAATAGCAGAAATTAATAGGAACCCAAAACTTTTCCTATTTAAGTCTGATTCCGAAGCTTCCATATCAAAATAAACTTGCCAGAGGTTGGGACGGAGCAGCATATAATTCATTCTGGGCAAACAATGCTTCAGAATGTTGAATGTGAAGTCACATTCAAAGAACAGATGGTTTTTTGTTTCATTTTCCGCCTTACAGAAGACACAAATAGGAGTAGCAGGAATACCCCTCATAGCTAAAGCATCCGCAGTTTTAAGCCCATTCATAAATGCAAACCAGGAAAAAATGGAATACCGTAAAGAAAAGTGTTTGTGCCAAACATATTTATGCCAAGGAACCACCTCACAGTCCTCATAGAACATTTGAACAAAATTGCGGAAGATAGGCTTTCCAGTATTTGTCCAGCAACAATCAACGTCAGAGTTGTGGATAGGGACAGAATTTATAAGAGCAGTTAAAGGAGCTGGTAGGTTAGAAGGTAAGTTCCAGCAATTAGAAATAATAAAACTGCTAACGCCCACATTGGTAGTAGGGATAGGGAAAGCAAAGTTACCCTGTTTAATCCTTTCAGCAACAGATAGCCCAAAACACCAGGGGTCCCAATAGAAGGAAAGCCTACTAGAATGGATAATTTTAAAGTTAAGAGAGTGTTGTAAGCGTATGGCAACGTCACAAAGAGCTTTCCAGTAAATAGAGCATTTAGAGCAGCCAAAATTCCAAAAAGATTCATATTTTGCTTTCCACCAGCTATTTAAAAGGCTTTTGGAATTGTAAAACCTCCATATAACTTTACAGCCAAAGCCAAAGAAAATGGAACTTATAGAGTGTAAACCAAGGCCACCATAACTGTAAGGTTTGCAGGTGTTGTTCCACGAGACCATGTGTAAACCTTTTTTGTTAATGTCCCCATAGAAAAGAAACCTAGAGCATAAGCTTTTAATGATCTTTTCACAAGTCTTGGGGATAACCGTCCCACGAACCCAGTAAGCTAGAACATTAGTGATTGTGTATTTTAGGTATTGCAACCTACCAGCAATGGAGAGAGATCTTGCCTTCCAGCCCTCCAAACAGCCAGAAATTTTATCTAAAAGAGGTTGATAGTCACCAATTTTCAATCTCTTCATAAAGATAGGAATACCCAGGTATTTAATAGGGGCATTGGCAATAGGGATATTCAGTATGTTACATAAAGCCTCCTCAACATCAGTATTTTTAGAGAAAAGAATACTGCTCTTGTTGCTATTAATCTGCAGCCCAGAAATGTTAGCAAAATTGTTGAGAATATTGATAAGAGCATTGGCATTGTCTAAATTGGCTTTAGCAAAAACCAACAGATCATCTGCATAAATAAGATGATTGATAATAATATCCCCAGCTCTCATACCCTGAAATAAATTGTTCAAGCTGGCCTCTTCAAAACAAGAAGAAAGACTGTCCATGACGATACAGAATAGGTAAGGAGAGAGGGGACAGCCTTGCCTGAGGCCAGAATTGGATTGGAAATAACCCTCAAGGGCCCCATTGATCAAAATAGAAAATTGAACTTCAGAAATGCAAGCTCTGATCCAAGAGACAAAAATATCAGGGAAACCTTTCTCAATCATTCGATTAAGTAAAAAGCTCCTAGAGACCGTATCGAAAGCTTTGTGGATGTCAAATTTAGCACAGAAGTAATGATCTCTCTGGGAGGTATTAAAATCTTTGAGCAACTCAGCAGCAAGCAAGATGTTATCAGAGATAACTCTATCTTTAATAAAACCAGCCTGACTAGGATGGATAATGAAAGGCATGACCTCTCTCAATCTATTGGCTAAAATCTTGGCAATGATTTTGTAGAAAGTATTGCAAAGAGAGATGGGTCTATAGTCGGCAATGTCTTGAGCATGAGGCTTTTTGGGGATAAGAGCAATGGCAGTAGCTTTAGCATGCTTGGGCATAGTCCCAGAAGAGAAAAAAGCCAAAACAGCCTCACAAAGTTGAGTGCCAATAGTGTTCCAAGTGGACTTATAAAACTCAAAGGTGTAGCCATCAGGCCCAGGGGCTGAGCTGTTAGGGGAGGAAAAAACCACATTTTTAATTTCATCCACAGAGATGGGGGCGGTTAAAAGGGGAATGAGGTTGGCCGGGACTTTGTGGTGAGTGGGGGCATTCCAGGAGGTAGAGGTAGAAGGCAGATCAGTGTTATAGAGCTTCATAAAATGATTGACAATAGCATTCTTGATGTCAGTAGGATCAGAGAACTCCCCATCCTTAGTAGTAATGCATTTAATCAAATTGGAGTTGTGTCTAATGTTGATCCGAGAGTAGAGAAACTTCAAATCATCCTCCCCATTAGACAACCACTTAGCTTTTGCTCTTTGAATAATCCAACCCGACCAATCAGATTTTTTCTCGGCAAGAAGGTGGTTAACCGAAATAAGGGCCGAGTTGAGATGAAGATCATGAGGAGAGTCTTGAATTTGACTCAACAAAAAAGATTGACTTCTATTAAGATCATCAATTTCCTTCAGGATATGATTGGAAGATGCCCAGCTCATGGCTTTGATGTTGGTCTTGAGAGTTTTCAACTTTTGAAGGAAAGCATGTGTAGGGCTGCTATGGAATTTCTTGGAAAAAACCTGAATGAGAGAATCCCAGAACTCTGGTTTAGATAACCAGTAGTTTTTAAAAAGGAACCTATGCCTTTGATGAAGGGATTGGTCATATTGCAGAATAATGGGAGAGTGGTCCGAAATCTGAGGACTATCCACAAGGTAATAGGAGTTCTGGTAAGTGTCAAGCCATTTATCATTAACCAGCATCCTATCAAGCTTGATGTGGATAGGATTTTTAGCCCTTTGATTGTACCAAGTAAAGTAATGTCCTACAGAAGATAAATCATGAACAGCAATATTGAAAATCAAATTATTGAAGTCAGAAGTTTTGCAGTTTGAAAGGGCCGAACCACCAGCTTTTTCATTGGGGGATCTACAACAGTTAAAATCCCCCAAAATGATCCATGGCATAGAGATATCCACAGCCAAGTCCATGATATCTTTCCAAAGTCTCTGCCTTTCATCAGAAGAATTTGATGCATAAACCACAGAAACACAATAAACTTCATTATTCCCTTTAAAAACAGTCCCGTGGATCAATTGACTGGAAGTAAACGATGGCTTAAACATTACTTTAAGCGCATTCCATTTTATCCAGATTCTACCCGGAGTAGAAAAGGCAAAGTTATCATAAGAGCCTTCAGAGTGAAAAACAGAATGAGAGGAATAAAACCAAGGGCTTTGCAGGGTGGTGCTAGAAATTCTCGTTTCCAGAAGAAAAAGAAGATCCAGATCAAATTTTGAAACCATGTTTTTACAGCAAACAGCTTTGTCCGGTCTATTAAACCCGCGAGTGTTCCAGGACGCCAGAAGAGGTGGAGGCCTGGTCATTGGGACTTTGAAGAAGAGGAGTTGGCCTTTTTGGCCGATTTTGCTCGTGTGTTCTTGGAATTGCTGGCTGGTTGAGACTGCACATAAGGTTGCTGTTTATCTTTGGTTTTAGAGTTAGAACCCAAATTATGAGGATCGGGTGGCTTTCCCGAATTTTCAGTGTAAGTGGATGAGGTTGGCATCTGGTCCTGCTTCTCAGACATGTTCGAGCTAGAGACTGCTGAATCAGCAATAGTGTCTTGGTATGAGAGGGCATCAAATTTATTGGTGACAGGAATATTCGGGGATGAATCTGGTAGAGGTTTAGTGGGGGAATTTTGTGTGGGGGTCGGGGATGGGAGATTCGAGGTGAAGTCCTCAGAAGGTGAGTTGAGATTTGGAATAAGATTAGTGGTCGGAGCCATAGAAGGTTGGTTCAAAGGGGGAGAAGGCTGAGGAGGTGTAGGTGTTGGTTGGGGGTGCATGGTGTTCTGAGGTGGAGCTTTCGGGATGTTCAACTTAGGAGGGAAATTCCTAGGTTTGCGACTGGTACTCCTTCCACGGTTAGGAATGGAGTCATTTTGCTGCGGATTCGGGTTTTTTGGGCAAGCATTAGGAGCATGCATGATGGAATTGCAGAAGGTGCAGTGAGTTGGCTTCCAGTCGTATAGCACAGTAAGAGGGAATTTTTTATCATCAACCGTATAGTAGATCTCATCCGGGAGAGGAGAAGAACTACATACCTGAACACAAACTCTAGCGAAAGTCAGCCTTGTTTTTGCCGCAGTCAGAGCGTCAACAGCCAGCCGAATACCCACACAACTTGCAATCTTTGAGATTCCCTCAGGCGTCCAGCAAGACAGAGGGAAGTTTTTGATCTTGATCCATAACGGGATGGATGGGAACTCTTCGCGAACAGGGACGAAGTCTGGGGTCCATTTCTGTAAAATGAAAGGTTTTCCGAAGAAAAACCAGGGTCCGCCGGACCATGCCATGTCATAATCTTCTCTGTTGTTGAACTTTAGGAGAAAGAATCCCTCATCCAGGGTAAGAAGAGTGAGGGAGCCTTTCAAAGACCAAGATTTTTTGATCGTAGCAAGAAGAGCCTCATAATACGGACGACGGCCAATCGAATAGCCGACAAGGGAAAGAGCCCATTCAGGGGATCCCGCAGAGAACTGAGCGGAGGTGAAGTGGGCTGTAGCGTTACCGTCGGGTAGTGAGAGATCGATGAAGTAAATTCATTAGAAACAAGTGGTTGGGAAGCTATCAAACTCTTCCAATCACGGGGAAGAAGAGAGGTGTAGGAAGAGGAGGGGTTGTTGAGAGAGGCGTTAGGCGGCGGAAAAAAGGAGGAGGACATCCCTTCGGAGGTCCTCCCCAGGAGGGAGGTGGTGGCGGCCAGGAGAGAGCAAAAACGAAACCCTAGCAGAGCAAAGCGTTGTATAACTGACTAAAAAAAAAACTGCACTTTAAATTTATAACTTTTTATATATGACATATATGACTAATATAATTTTATATTTGCAAGCCTTGGTTAGGGAAGAAAAGGAAAGGAGGGAGGGAGAGAGAGGAGGAGGAGGATAGAGAAGAGAGAGAAGGCTCGCCTAGTTATGAAAATTGTTTTAATTGTGTTTGGTAGCATATATCATATGTATGTGCTTAATTATTTTAATTTCTTTAATTTTCTATCTCATAAATATGATAAAAATATATTATCTTTTGATCTAGCAAACTTTCACGATGTAGCTTTTGATATATTGTAAATATCTCTATTCTCAATATCTTGGTATGATCATTGATACGTCATAGGAAAATTATCTTGATCGGGCACGAATCTCAATGCAAAATCAAGTTGGAAACTTTCAAAATTAAAATTGGGACCATCTGAACTTTGATTTCAGCAAACTTACAGTTAAACTGAACGTCTCGGAAATACGAACCCAACGACACCTAATTCGACTCAATCCGAGCCCAAATGAGTCCAAATCAAGGACCCAAAGCGCAGTTGGAAGGTTCAAACCACAAATTAGATTACCAAACGATTTCCAAAAATTAATTGGTTATAGTCAAATCGAGCGACTCGACAAGACAAATCCAACGAACCCAAGATCGTTAAATTCCAACATTACTAAGACATTCAAATGTTCATCAACCGGTCCCTGATCGGCCGTCCATCCGACCACTTCCCCTTTACACTTGATCTCTCACCTATTTACAGGCCATGCCACTCCATAAATATATAAATAAACTCCTCATTTCTCTTGAAAGGGGATCCCAAGCAAGAAGAGAATAAGAGAAGAGAAGGAAGAGAATGAAGAAACTCCTCCTCAACCACAGCCGGAGTCTCGTCGGACCACCACCTGAGACTCTTATCCTCGCCGAACCACCACATTAGGCCCTCATCCTCATCGGACCACCACATGAGGCCCTCATCCTTGCTGGACCACTGCTTGAGGTTCTCGCCTTTGTCGGACCACCACCTGACGTCGTTGTTTTGCCGGACCACCACTTGAGGCCCTCACCTCCACTAGACCACCACTTGAGGCCCTCACTTCCGTCAGACCACCACTTGAGACCTGGAATTCTGCCGGACCATCACCTGAGACACGAACTTTCGCAGGACGACCGTTTGACGTTATTGTTCTGCTGGACCACCACTTGAGGCCCTCACCTCCACCTGATCATCACTTGAGACCCAGACTTCTGTCGGACCTCCACCTGATGCCCGGACTTCCGCCGGACCACGCTTGAGGCCCTGTGCTTCACCAGGCCACCACATGAGGCACAAACTTCTACCATACCACCACTTGAGGCCCTGACTTTTGTCGGGCCACCACCTGATGCCTAGAATTCTGCCAGAGTATGCCCTACTACAACGGTCTTTCTATCCCCAATCTCCGATCAACTATGGTTTTTCAGACCCCTGTCTCCTTCTGACTATGGTCCTTCCGACCTCCGTCACGTACTATGGACCTTTCGACCAACATCGCCAGACAACGGCCTTTCTGACCTCGATCTCATGCATGCTACGGTCCTTTCGACCTCCATCACCAGACAACGGCTTGCCGACCTCTATCCTATCAACTATGGTCGTGCGAACTAAACAGACATGTCTATATTGTAACTCCCACCATATAATGTGCTATATATGATCTATATTTATACCATCAAGCCAAGGCCTTCTCCCAAGGAAGGGCCTCATTTGTAATCGACTACAAATACTAGTGGATTCATTTAAACTGGGTCAGACCCCATGGTTTTTTTCCCCTTTTCAGGGGTTTCCACGTAAAAATTATGGTGTCTCTTATGAATGCAACACTCTCTCTCTCTTATCTGATTGTGTGCTGGATCTTCATACAACGTTAAGACATTAAACTATATGTTTCTCCACCATCGCGAATACTCCATGACGCAACAATCATATAGTAATTTCACGAGTTAGATTTGCATGTACATTCATGATGGGAATGTAATATTTCTTACAACAATATTCTAAGCTGATATGATTAGTCATGTAAGATTGAATTTTCACATTTTCTATTTTGTATGTTTTGTATATTTTTGAATGCATTTATTTTGTGGTAAAGCGTGTCTCAAGGGTTCGCCCTACCATGATCTCTTTGACCTTCTTCGCTCATTGACTATGATCCTATGACTATCATCACCCATTGATGACGGTCCTTGAACCATCGTTGTCTGACTAAGATCCTCTGACAACTGTCACCCAACTACAATTCTCCAATCACTGGCACCAAGCTATTGTTCCTATGACTATTGTGCAATATCCATTGTTGCATAACCCCCCCCCAAGCCCCCTTACCTTGTTGGAGAAGGAAGAAGAGAAAGAGAGAAAAAAGATAAAAAAAGAGGGTAGAGATTTAGAGATTACAGAGCTAAATACATCCATTAGGCTAGTTAAGGATTTTGTCGAGCACAAGGACTTCTAAACGCCCATCTATGCTTTCAATTCCAATACGTATGCCACAAAATATAAAAAATCTATATATTTTCTTGAATTTTATGATGTTTTCCTAGTGTAACTTTTTATATATCATAACATGATTTATTTTGAACACTTGATTGTATAAAGTTAAAATTTTACAGGTTAGTTCTTCTGTATTAGTTTTTGTACATGTCAAATGAATGAAATATTTATAATATTAATGACAGTTCTCTAAAAATCTCAAAATGTTGTTCTAAATGTTCCTTTGAAGTTATAATTAGAAAGATAAATGGCAAGTATATAGGTTTTTACACATGTAATGTTTCCTGGTTTTAGTAGTACATATGTCATCATATTCATATTTAATATCATAATTATATGTTTAAATACTCACATCCATGATTCATGACATAATATTAGAGAAGTTGTGATATCTGAAATGATACAAGTGCACTTTTTATAAATGCTACAAGGGCTCTATAAGTTCTATTCTGACCCATCTGTTTGGCATGGATTTAGGAGGTTTTATGCTTTGCTTTGACTCATCTTGCTTTATGTGGGTGTTGCAGATTTAAAAAGTCATAAGTGAAAGTGGAGTTTTTAACAGACACTTAGACATATGCATAATATATCCACGTATTGCTTATTTTGATAATTCAAATAAATTTGAGTATAAAAAATATTTTGATATCAAGTATATTCTTACATTTTGATACCTCTGTGAAGTTTATCCATAAAAGTGCAAGTGATAACTTCGATAAGAAGCATATTATGATAGTCTTATGAAAGTAATTATGTGAAAGGTGCAAATGTAAATGTTATGTGCAAAGTCAAGTAATAATGTATGAATTGATGTTTTCTAAAACACAAAATGGGTTAAATTTTATATAAGTTACTTTTTGTTAACACTTAGTTTTGACTATGATGCTTTAACTTAATATTTGAATAATTTTTCTATTTATAGTTGTTGCGTGCTAGAATATACGCGGCAGTAGAGTTAAAAAATATTCGTCTTAGCGTTGCACGAGTATTCTGCACACAAACAGAAAAGAGAAATGAACACCAGAATTTTTACGTGGAAAACCCAAAAAGGGAAAAAACCACGGGGCCTCGCCCAGTTATAAAGTTCCACTAGTGTTTGTATGAAGTACAAAGGTTGATCCGTCTTACAAATCAAGACGATCAGTTTACAATCAACTTCTTACAAAAGTTACGAAGTTCTGCAAATTCTCGGCGTTTCCCGAAAATTCAGCAGAGTTCCGGCGTCTTCAGGCGGCAGGAAGAGCTCCGACGGTGGTCGAGGAGGAGCTTTTTCCTTCTTCTCCTTCTATTCTTCTTCTCTCTTTTTTCCCTTTGGTGTAGAATGAGGGCTCTATTTATAGTTTTTCTGGAGTGGCATAGCCCGTAAATAGGCGTGAGATCAAGGCCGAATTGAGAGTGTTTTGAATGGACGGCCGATATCGAATCCTTTGATTATGCGCCGTTTGTTGGGCATTTGAAGGACTTAATAATGTCAGAATTCAGTAATCTTGGGCTTGTTGGATTTGTCTCGTCGAGCCGTTTGATTCAAGTATAAGCTCGTCAAAATCGGAGACCGTTTGGTAACTCAAATTGCGGTTTAAACCTTTCAACAGTGCTTTGGGTCCTTGATTCAGACTCATTTGGGCTCGGATTGTGTCGAATTTGGTGTCATTGGATTTGTATTTCCGAGATGCTCAGTTTGACTTTAAGCTCGCTGAAATCAGAGTTCATATGCTCCCGAAATTAATTTTTGAAGTTTCCAACTAGTTTTTGCCTCGAGATTCGTGCCCGATCAAGATGATTTTGCGATGCCGTATCAATAGTAAAATGAGTATTGATATTTGTAGCAAAAACGTGAAAAAAAGTCTACTAAGCTTATTGTGCTCACTCTGTGAGATTTCTCTGATATATCTAGAGAAGGGATAGATCCAACATAGTAGAGTTGATAAGGTCAAGATTCTCAAAATTAGAATTTTGAGGTATTTTGTAATCTAAATATTTATTTTATTATGCATGGATTTTGTATGA